AAATATGGAGATAAAAAGTTTATTCTCATGAGAAGAAAAAAGTAATACAGAATTATCCTTCTATCAACTTTTGGGAAATGGATTAAGTTAAGATGAAAAACGAATAAAATAAAAGAATAAAGACATAATTTTATATTTTTTTAAATTTTATTTATTTATTTATTGCAGTTTTTGGCCAGGGCTGGGTTTGAACCCACCACCTCCAGTATATGGGGCTGGCACCCTATTTACTGAGCCACAGGTGCCGCCCCAAAAACATAATTTTAAAGGCAAGAATTATTCAGTCTAAATGTGCTAAGTTTGTAAGTATAACAATGCAAAATTATGTAAACATATGGAAAATTTTTAAAGAAATATGGAAAACAAAGACTACAGATGATAACCACAAATACTGTTACCAGAAATGATTATGTTAAAAGAGCTGAGAATTATAAACAAATATCCCATATTAGCTAAGGTTATGAAAGTATATGTTGTATCAAAAGCGCTATAAGAAAATAGGAAAGACACTAATACATGGAAGGGATCCCATGAGAGCACAGAAATCTCATCTCATTTAAATTCTACATTAAGTATTAACAGTTGTTTTTACCTTCTTTCCTAAAAATGGCTATATCTTTTTTTCTGAAACAGAGTCTCACTATGTCACCGAGGCTAGGGTGCTTAGCATCAGCCTAGCTCACAGCTACCTCAACTCCTGGGCTCAAGTGATTCTCTTGCCTTAGCCTACCAAGTAGCTGGGACTATAGGTGCCTGTCACAATGCCTAGTTTCTTTTTTCTTTTTTTTTTGTAGAGACAAAGTTTGTTGCCCTTGGTAGAGTGCCATGGCTCACAGCACCTTCCAACTCCTGGGCTTAGGTGATTCTCTTGCCTCAGCCTCCCGAGTACAAGCACCCGCCACAACGCCCAGCTATTTTTTTTGTTGCAGTTTGGCTGGGGCTGGGTTTAAACTCACCACCCTCAGTATATGGGGCCGGCGCCCTACCCACTGAGCCACAGGCACCGCCCTGCCTAGCTTCTTTCTTGTTTGTTTGTTTTCTATTTTTAGTAAAGACAAGGTCTCGCTATTGCTCAAGCTGGTCTTGAACTCCTAAACTCAAGCAATCCCTCTGCCTTTGCCTCCCACAGTGCTAAGATTCTAGGCATGAGCCACCATGTCTGGCAATGGCTGTATTTTAAAGAGACAGAGTCTACGTTGTCCAAACTGAAACCAAAAATCCATTTTATATTTGCAAAGTAGTTTTAAAAATTCCCCAGACCAAATCTTGAAAATATTATACTAAGTGAAATAAGCCAGTTACAGAAGGAAAAATGTTATATAATTCCACTTATATATGAAGTAAAATAGTCAAATTCACAGAGAAAGTGGAATGTTAGGGTAGTTAGTTACCAGAGACTAGGAAGAAGAGGAATGGGAAATTACTGTTTAACGGCTACAGAGTATGGGATGATGAAAAAGTTATGGAGGTGAATGGTGGTGATGTTAATGTCCTTAATGACAATCAACTAGGCATTTCAAATGGTAAGCATTAAGGCATGTATATTTTACCATAATTTTAAAGAAATACTGGAAAAAAAATCAAGACAAGAGTAGTATCAAAAAAATCCTACAATTCCAATTTATCATCTATAATCCTTCAAAGTAAGCCTATTAAAAAAGAGTAGGTGCCCAGTGCCCATTGCTCAGTGGTTAGAGAGCCAGCTTGTGGGTTTGAACCCTGCTTGGCCTGCTAAACAACAATGACAACTACAACAGAAAAAACAGCTGGGCGTTGTGGCAGCTACTTGGGAGGCTGAGGTGGAGAATCGCTTAAGCCCAAGAGTTAGAGGTTGCTGTGAGCTGTAACATCACATCACTTCACCAAGGGCCACATAGTGAGACTCTGTCTCAATAAATAAATAAATAAATAAATAAAATGAAAAAGCAGAAAAAACAATGAAATATTATTCGAACTTAAAAAGGAAGGAAATTCTGACACACTCTTAACAACACAGATGAAGAGTAAGGATATTATGTTGAGTAAAATAAACTAATTAGAAAAAGACAAATACTGTACGATTCTACTTAACATGAAGTACATACAATAGTCCCAATCATAGAGCAGAAAGCAGAATGGTGGTTACTAGAAGCTGGATGGAGAAAGGGGAAAATGGGAGGTGTTTCCTAAGGGGTACAGAGTTTCAGTTTTGTATCAAGAAAACGTTATACAGTTGGTTGCACTTAACACTACTAAACTACACACTTAAAAATGATTAAGACTGTAAACTTTGCTATGTACTTTATGCCACAATAAAAAATTAAAAAGAGGGCAGCGTCTTTGGCTCAAAGGAGAAGGGTGCTGACCTCATGTGCCGGAGGTGGTAGGTTCAAACCCAGCCCTAAAAAAAAAAAAAAAAAAAAAAAAAAAAATTAAAAAGAGTAAGAAGAATAAAGTGCCTGTCCCTTACTTTCCCCCATGTGTCCATGATCTAAAACACAAAATCAAGAACCATACAGGGAATAAGCTGCAAAGCAGTCTATAATGTTTATAGCTGCTTGCCCCCAACAAGCAAGTCATAATTTGACTCTAACATGTAGCATAACCAAGGATTGTGAAAACATCCAACCAAAGACTACAACTTTTAAGGGCCACTTTCAAGTAGCTACACAAGCCCTTTTATTTTCTTCAAGTCAGTTTAAAAAAATCCATTGCAGATATATTAGACAGCATATCAATCCAACGAGAAAGCAGAGAGCCAATATCAGTAAATCAAAGTGTGCCTTTCTGTTAATACTCTCTCATATGTTCTCATTTTATACACCCCTTCGCCCAGTCAGAAAGTAGCCCTGAAGTATTTAGGCTCTATTCAGGGATAGCACCACCATGCATCAAAGTGTCAAGAGACCTACCAGAGATGAAATCTGCAATTCTGTGCTTCACCAGAAGCAAATGTCACCAGTGAGTACCCCAACATGTGGACAACTTCCTATACAGGGAATTAGAAAACAACCTAATTCTT